TGTATTGTAAAGACGAGCCACAGAGAAAGCAAAAATCGTCACAGATAGTTTTCATTTTTTCATAACGCCAATCTATTTGACACAATAGAGTGTCAAGAACACTGTAAATTTGTATTTTAAATAATTTTTCGGGTGTCAAGTTACTTCCTTAATTTGGTGTTTTATCTATTTCCATTATCTTAACTATTATTTTTCGTTTATTAAAAAATCCCTTTTTTATACTTTTTGGTTTGTTTTAAGAATATGATCAATAATAGCATCTGTTGGCCATAAAGCTATATCATTTATTACTTCCATGTATCTATATATGTATATCGAAGCGGTTTTTTTGGACTATTTCTGTCTTCTGCGTTTTCGCAATCCCCTTTTTCAGTAGCATTTTAAAGACTGCGGGAGCTCCTTCGGGCCCTACGCGCCCGCATAGTTCGCTTACCGCTTAATCCGCCGTTCAGGTATACACCACATATGCGTAGCACTATAAAGCAAAAATTGATGTCAGAATTTCTGCACGCCTTTTACAACCTCGAGACTAAGATTTTATTCGGGAGTTACCGTTTTCAATTTAGTAATTTAAAAAAAAAAATTCTCGGGCAGATTTATTTTTGTTACAAAATGTTACCTTTGCAGATTTCTGGCTCTGCACACTGTAGAACAGAGGTCCCCAACCCTATGCCCGCGGGCACCATAGCGCCCGCCGATCGTTTTACGTGTGCCCGCTGCTGTGCGACCACAATAAAAATATTTCAGTTTTCAATAAAATGCTATGTAAAAGTTTTCTTATTTTTAATGATTATCCAAACAAAAGTAGAAATGGCATCCAACACAGATAAAAGAACAAAGCGAAATGCGACTGATCTCTTTTTTCCCTTTTGCCAAATCTTCTCCAACCTAATTACCCATACCTAAAATGAAATAAACCGTTCCATTTTTATGGTTGCTGTGACAACAAAGACATTTGTCTCATGAGAGCCGGACAGTAGTGTGGTTTGTGCTGTGAGGTAAACGTTCATTCGAGGTATCTACTTTATTATTTATTCATAATTATATGCTCATATTTTTTGTATACTGTGTTTTGTATACTCTTTCGTTGTTTTTAAATACTTCCTTATTTTTACCCCAAAATGAGTGGATCAAGTAAAAGACAACGGACCTATAATTTTAATAATGAATGGGAGGATTTATATTGCTTTGTCAATTTAAAAGACAAATGTATTTGTTTGTTGTGTGGAAATAGCGTCGCGGTGCCGAAAAAACATAATGTTGAACGTCATTTCCTGACAATTCATGCTAGTTTTAATACGAACTATCCACTTAAATCTGAAATAAGAAAGAAGAAAATAGATCAACTAAAATCAAATCTGTTCGCTCAACAGTCAGTTTTCACTAGGCCTGCGTTAAGATCTAAAAATGCTACTATTGCTTCTTTAAAAATTTCTCACATACTCGCAAAGAAGAAAAAGCCTTTCCAGGATGGTGAGTTGTTAAAGGAAGCATTTCTTACTGGTGCCGATTGCTTATTTGAGGGATTTTCCAACAAACGTGAGATCATGTCAGCAATACAAGACTTACAGTTGTCAGATAACACCGTTACAAGAAGAATACAAGCCATTTCAAAGGATATGCAAACTCAGTTAAAGAGTGATTTGGAAATATGTGAGTGGTTCTCACTTCAATTTGACGAGTCTACCGACATATCAGACACAGCACAGTTAGCAGTTATGGTGAGAATGGTATTTAGTGACTTTACTGTAAAAGAAGATCTACTAAAAATATTACCCATGAAAGGACGAACAACAGGTGAGGATATCTATAAAATATTTATAACATATGCAAAGTCGATAGATATGCCTCTCCAGAAGTTGTCTGCGATAACCACTGACGGAGCACCAGCAATGGTTGGTAATGTCAATGGATTTATTGCCCTCTGCATAAAAGATAAATCATTTCCAAATTTTATGTCGTATCACTGTATTATCCACCAGGAAGTTTTGTGTGGTAAAATACTACCCTTCGGACACGTCATGAAAATAATTACAAAAATAGTCAACTTAATTCGCGCAGCTCCTTTGCAACACCGCCTTTTCAAGGCCCTATTAGAAAATCCTGAAGATCCTGATCTCATTCTGCATACTGAAGTACGTTGGCTCAGTAAAGGCAAAGTTCTTGCTAGATTTGTAAATTTAATTGAAGAAATAAAAAATTATCTCAATGCCAAACACCAAAATTTTTTTGAACTAACAGACCCTCGTTGGCTAGCGGATTTGGCTTTTTTCACAGACATAATGGAAAAACTGAATTATTTAAACTTAGAGCTGCAAGGAAAAGACAAACATATAGCTACAATGATAGGGTCTATAAACTCATTTAAAGCTAAACTGGTTTTGTACATTATGTGTATGTATTATTAACTATGCCCAACTATAAATTTACCTTGAAAAAAATAAATGGTGCCCGCCATCTGACCGGTATTCTAGAATGTGCTCTTAGGTACAAAAAGGTTGGGGACCCCTGCTGTAGAAAAATCTAGAAATACACTTTTGTATATCGTTAGTAGTTGCCAGAAAGCTCTATAAAGTAGAGATAAATCTGTAAATTTGAAAACTATAAACATAAATTTAAATTTCTCAAAAAATAAATTAAAAAATATCAAAAGTCGCTACTTTTGGCTGATTTGTCTGAGGTCTCCGCTACCTCACTACGTCCCTCTAAAAGTCGCCACAGTTGGGAACACTGGTAAGCAGACATCTAGGGTCTAAGTAAGGCGAAATGTAATCTCCAAACCGCTCTGTAGAAAGGCGGAAAAATTTAAAATTTAAAAATATAATTTCTTGTGAACAGCAGTTTGGGCCACCCTTCCAAGTGGACCCTGTGCGGGTGCACCTGTTGCACCTGCCTATTTACGGCTCTGTTCCTGCGTAGCAATAAAAAATGCGATACTAACGAAAGAGACCGCCATCTTGGATCGTCGAGCGATGACGCCGGTATTGGATGTTAATCCAATGGCGTCGTGTTATATTGCGACTGTTTTGTACTCTGCACATTCGGCTTGAAGATCAAATTATGATGTTTCGCACAGATAATCAGTAAGTGATCCTCAATTCCGTATTTAGTATTACAAAAATTGCTTTTAGCCCTAAGTATAATTAAATTAATTAAAATATCTATAACCGTAAGGCAGATAATAGTAAGGGATTATCACATCAATAATAATGGGCACAAACGCTCAAGAATCAAAGTAAAAACATTTCATAAAACAAAAAGGGTGTACAATAAGATGGTTGCATAAGTACAAAAAGCCGTAAAAATCGAAAATGCATTTCGGACTATTTCCAATAGAAAATTAGTCCCTCGTCAGTTGGTAATGACGAGAAGTCTTAGTATACTTAAAAATTATACAAGGTGAAAAGATATTAAATTTAAAATTAAACTTAAAACTATGCACAAGTGGCCTAATTTGCCTAGATCCCAATTGATATTTGTGCATGGGCCTTCATCTATTAAAGGTTGAAATAGATAAAACTAACAATGACATCTGGCTGCATCATATGTTGTCACCACTTGTGTTCCAGATGTGTAAGGTAACACATAACACACCTCCTTTATAACCGCTCCCTGCATCCCGTAGAAATGTCTGAACCTGCAACTCTGTTATCCTACTGTTTTTTGGTATGTATATAATCTAAACTGACTGTATAACATTAGTTTATAACTGTTAACCAATATTTCGGCTAACTCATAATTATTTTTGTATCATCACCTGCTCGTCACGTTACCATGCAACGTTGGGAAGAAATATTACTCCTATCTACATTGAGAATGCTTACTGCTCATACAGTCGTGGCGATGTTTTCATCTTTATATTGTATAGCTTTAGGCATAGTTTTAAGTTTAATTTTAAATTTAATATCTTTGTAATATCTTGTATAATTTTTAAGTACAGTATACTAAGACCTCTTGTCATTACCAACTGACGAGGGACTATTTTTCTATTGGAAATAGTCCGAAATGCATTTTGGATTTTTACGGTTTTTTGTACTTATGTAATCATCTTATTGTACACCCCTTTTTGTTTTATTAAATGTTTTTACTTTGATTCTTGAGCGTTTGTGCCCATTATTATTGGTGTGATAAGCCCTTACTATTATCTGCCTTACGGTTATAGATATTTTAATTAACTTCCGTATTTAGTGTTTACGGGTCTGTATCCTTCGCCGTGTCGGATGGCCTAGTTGGCGGAGAGACTTCCACAATTAAGTCTTTTTCTTTCGTTCGTAGGTGCTGCCGAGTAAAATCTGGAATCGGGCGTGTTCGTAAAAGCATTTATTTTTTTTGTTTTGCTTCCATTTTTGGTACGCTCCTCTACTACTTCCTGGTCGAATGTAATGTAGATTACAGGAACTTCAATAATTCCGAATATATACCTCTAATTTGGAAGTGGGATTCCTCCCAAAGTCCCGTAAACAAATTGGCGAAACCTTTACACACCCGAGAACACGCCAATTACTTAGTTGTGTACGACTACATAGCGGCAGATAAATTTTACCTGGGAAATTCTACCGTAACCTTGACAACGCAAGGCACCTACGAATTTCTGCACCACGTCGAGCAGTTGTGCCTCCGTTGGAAGGCGCCCGTTTCGATAACCGTTTACGCACCCGGTCTGAATTTCTATCCGGTGGTGCGGAGAATTCTATATCTACGCCGGTGTCGACACCCCTGCTTGAAGGCCAACGTCACTTGGCACCTTATCGTCGATAAGGCGCACGCGCCTACCCAAGAGGATACACTAAAAGCGCGAGAGATGCCGGTGAATTGCCAAAACGACACCTCTAACTTTATCAATTTTCGAAAAACGCACAAATTGTCTTACCCCATCAACTTGGCTCGTAACGTAGCCCGAAAGATGGCTCGGACCCACTACGTTTTGGCCTCGGACATCGAATTGTACCCGTCTCTGGACTTGGTTCCGCGGTTTCTGGACATGGTCCTCGAACAAAATGTCTCCTCGCCACATGTCTACGTCTTACCAGTCTTCGAGGTGGAGAAGAACAGCAAAGTTCCCGAAACGAAGAAGGAATTATTAGAGATGATGTCCAGCAAGAAGGCTGTTTTCTTTCACAAACTCGTGTGCGATACGTGTCATAAATTTCCGGATAGAGATCGCTGGCTGAAGACAACTCCTCCCGAAAATTCTATGACTATCTTTTCTACCGTTAAGCACGCGCCACCGTGGGAACCGTTTTACATAGGAACCAACAACGAGCCGCCTTTTCACGAGAATTTCACGTGGGAAGGGAAGATGAACAAGTTTCCTCAGGTAAGTTATTTAAGAGATCCTCCGCCTTTATCCCTCTTTGAATCCTTACTTTGGACTCGTAGGTTCTGGAGATGTGTTTCATGGACTACGACTTCTGCATCTTAGATAATGCCTTTTTGGTCCACTCTCCGGGGATAAAGCGCATAGACCGTGCGTCGGAACGTCGCAGAGCTCCTTACGCCGTCAACAATACGAAGTTGTATCGGCTATTACGTCGCGACCTGACCCGGAAGTACCGTCCCAGATTTAACTGTATGAAATAAACTTCCGGTTCGAGCGAACAATTTGAATTCGAGAACACCCGGTAGTCTGGTATCCTTTTTAATTCTTACGTTTAAAGAATTATAATGACATTCGTTGCGGAGATTCTCCCGAGTTCTTTCTCATTCCCACCACTTACAGTACATACGTATTCGTATTAAAGGCTCTTTGTCGAAGCCGCACACAGGGATTTGTCGTTACTTACAATCGTAATAGATACGTTTACGCGGTGCAGTTGGATACTACTACCCTACATAACAGCATTTATTAGCTAAAATAAAAAATATCGATACCCTCCTGTTTAATAATAATTTTTACTTTTCTAACTATAAATGTGGCTTTTTAAAATGAAATTAAAATTTTTAATCCACAACAATTCGCTTAATATTAAAGTCTCTCGACACAACGTTGAAACATTCGCGCCATGTTAGTTTGGAGCGCGACGCGTATGGGAATACGTAATACGACACACTCTACGACGCGTATAATAGTATTATTTCGTCACACAAAATAACGTAATCGAGTGATTCTCGCGTTAAAGAGTTAATCGGAATTTGACGTCGTTACCTTTGAATAAAAGAAGAAAGGATTTAGGCCATTTGTAAACCGTAACTTTTAGTGACGTCTCTCGTTTACTATTGTTTACAAATACAAAAAAAAAGTCAATTTCATTACTCGAAACTATAATTATACGCCACGACAATCCACGCGTGTACGATGCTTAACGAGTTTAAAAATCGTGACCAGGAAAATGAAGCGGAACGGAAATTCGTTTTGAGATGCGATCGACACAGAGTTTTATTTTCTTAAAAAGTAAATAATAAAAATAAAAGTAATTTAAAAAGTTTTGAGGGATGAAGAACCTCTTCCATACTCGTAAAACGAATATAGAACAATTTTATGCGATTGTACTGTACGTTTCTAGATGTTATGGGGTGAAAATTGTAGATAAAAACTGAAGATAAATGCGTACGTATTTGTTANGCCGAGTACAGTGGGGACTGACTTCTTCGAAATACTGTATTAGATGTAATAAAGACAGAAATGTTTCCAGTTCAACGAGAGTGATCGAAAAGTTGTAAATTTTGGAAATTTCCGTGGACGACACCTGGTCCTAAAACGAATTAGTTAGAAAACAAAAGACGGACAATCTATTAAGTTTAACCTATTTAGATTATTTGCAAAAAAAGCAGTTTCTCGTCTATTTTGCCAACCCGTAACCCTGCCACTTAGACTTAGACCGTGTCGCCGACGCCAACAGACGAAGTCTCCCCACCTATCTTTGTCAACTGCCACTGCCCCATGGCCATCTTCGATAGACGATCGAAGAACCTCATCGACGCCCAGGACGTCGGAACAGCTGATTGTCGTAAAGCATACTATTTTGTACATAGCGTAAGTTTATTTTATGTTAAAATAAACGGTTTTTGTTAGATACTTGTCATCTTTGTCTCGTTCGCCACCACTCGTGTACGAATGGCACCTAGACCATCACTGACAAGCAATTAATTGATTGCCCCTGGAAGTCGGCTTGTTACAAAAACACAGCTTCCCTATCATCAAATGTCACGACACGCCCCTGTGGCACATCTAAAAGAATGCCATTTCTCTATAAAAGTTTTCCCGGGTGAAAACTCCTCTTGGCAGATGCCAGTATTGCATTGCCCTATCCCGTCAAACCAAACCCCATGAAAAAAGGCTAACATTTTACTGCAATTTCGACTAGCCAAACGCTTTACTATTGACACATATTTTCTGTTATGACTATATGAAATGCTATATTTTTTGTTCACTTATCTGTAGTAATATAGAGCCAAATAATTTCACAGAAATAGCTTCATATTATGATAATAGTACTGAGTTTATAGGAAATGAAAAAGTTAACTTTGCTACGACAATTTTAACTAGTTTCTAGAAACCGTCATTTAGAGATTTATTGTATTTATATTGTATTATTCAAAAGTTTGAAAACTGACTCTTGAAAATGCAACTTAGAGTGATGTGCATGTAAGGCCTATATTATGAATCATTCGTTTACTGGTAATCTGAGTTAGCGCTTGTTGAATATAAAATGCTTTATCATGCTTTATGTATTAAATATTTATGAATATGCAATTCATGTTTATTCCATCGTATTCAATTATTTCTAAGTGATTTTACTTAGTAGCAAATTTACATAAAATTTTATTTCAAATTTGAAAAAAATTGCAATAAAAATTCATGAAATGTTAGAATAATTTTCGGGGGAATATTATGTGTCATTCGAAAATTTTTCAGCGATTCGCAATATTTAAAAATGAGTAAATTCACTGAGGATATTTTTCTTATAACCGTCTTTTAACATAAAAACAAATGACTTTTATGATCAGAAGTGATGTGTAGTAGGAGTGATACGTAGATGTTCCATACATGACAGAATCTCATTCTCTTGAATAACGAATGTAAAAGAAATTACGAAAGCTAAGCCATTTTGGGCCAGAGAATGTAGGTATAGTCAAACCTTTTAGGCCTTATCTTATGGAAGGTGGAAAGCAATGTTTATTTATATAAATTTCTACTGTAAAATTGAACATACAGCATTCTCAGCAGCCTCGGTTACTCTCCACTTAATGGCAAATGTTTACTTATTTATACCACTATTATCAGTTATCTTTCTCAGTTGTAAGTTATAGATTTTGTGATAATTATTTTTTATATTAGATTTTGAGACGCATTCGATATAGTTTTTATTTCAAAACCTATTCCTTCAAATTTCTAATAGTAAATTCATCACTAATTAATTTAACGATAAATTTAAATTAATTTTCTTCATTTATATTGAATAACATCGAACCTATTTTATAAGTTTTCTACTTTTTATTTTTAGGCTTTATTTCATTAATATCATTTCCTACCTTTTCTTTAGCGAACTTGTGTAATTTTGTTAAAGTATACTACCTTCTGCACGGTACTAGTTTTCTCGGTGTTTCTATTACACACGCGCGTGCGAGTGCACAGATCATTTTGAACGTGTCCTCAACAATTCGCAGCTTAATTATTCCTTTATTAAGTGTTTTAATACTCGAAATTATTAATATCTACTGAAATGATTACTGAAGTTCTGTTGTCTTAAAGATACATGGAAACAATCTGCAGACGAGAATTAGGCTACATGCAGAACTTAACCAGACCAGAAATAACTGATTAGTGTTACTTTGTTTATTGTTAATATATTATTTTTATCTGTATAATATCTGTTTGATGTTCAAACTATATCAAATTTGAAAATAGAAAATGTGGGCCAAAATTTTCGGCCCATTCTTAAGATCGCTGTGAAATTTTGTTATTGATTCGCTAGAAACCAATCGAAGTAAAAGTATTGTTATGATTTTAAGCAGGGTAGGCAATTTATGGCTTAACTATTTCAAAATTATATGAATACTTTTCTACATAACTTTGCTTTAAAATAAACAGAAATTGTTTTGAATTTACATAGATTTTTTGTAACGTATAATATGACATTGAGCCGGCTTTGTAATGAAAGTCATAGGAAAAGAAACATTAAAAAAACAGTTATTTCACTTGTTTATAAATGAGAATTATCGTATGTATATTATGATAGAATCAGGATATAGTGAAGATCAAGAAAACGACACGATACTGTACTTTAAACTTTAACAAGATTATTTTTTTCACCTAACTTGCTTCAGTGTGCAAACTGTGATAAATATATTTCTTTAAATTCATTATATTTTCCTTTTTTTTTAACTTTAATTTTTCCCAGAGAAATAGAGAAAAAGAAATCCCACCGAACTGTACTTTTGAAATAAAGTAAATACAATAAAATTAATCTAAAATGTTTCTAAAATAAGATCTTGTATTCTGTAATTCAATAAAAATTGCGTTAATAAAATAATAAAAATTAATACAATACAATTAAAATTACTACCCAATAATGCATTTTAATACGCATATCTATATTTTTTGAATATTGGGATGGTGGCAAGAGCCTAAATATTTCACCTTTATCTTAATTAGCATCAAAGATATCCAGTTTGACAGGTAAATCTATTTAATTTCTAAAATACTTAATGAAAAAGTGAAGTCATCGAACTGAAATCGATCTAACAGCGCAACATACCTTATATAAATAAATAATTTAATATCATTCTAATAAATTTAATAATAAAATAAAATAAATAGTAATATTAATAAAAAAATTTTAATTGATATAATACCCACACCACACCAAATAAAAAATGTATATATATAAGATAATATAAAAATTAAAATATTTAATATATATAAAACTTTTTTATTAGCTGATTATATATGATTAATATAAAATTCAACAAAGCAGATAACAATATCATACTTTATTACGGCAATTATTACGTCACGCAAACGTCACACAGACAACTGTAAATATGGCTGGTATCGGTTAAGTGCACGTGTATTGACTTGTGGTCCTCGAAAGTGTGAAAGGTATCGGAGAGTTACGTCATCTCAGCAGTAAAGACAACATGGCTATGAGGGTAGGGTGACGTTTCAAATTGTAATTTTTAAATTATAACTTTATGACTTACCTTCTGTACCATTCTATAAATTATTATATTAAATTGTTAATAGATGTGAACGTTAATTTTTTCGGATAATGATGTTATTTAAATAATTTTCTAAGCGTTAATTACACTTAAGTGGTCTGATATCGATCGGAAAATTTACAGTATCTCAACGTGAAAATCGATTTTACTTTTCGTTAAAGTTTTTATTTATCAAGGGGGTGGTTTGCTTGACGATAATATTTTTCATACAAACTGCTTATAAAAAAATTAATAGAGTAAACTAATTTAGTTAAATAATATTATATAAAATTAAATATTATCTTATATTTCTGAAAAGTGTGTAATCTTTGAAAGAAAAATATTAATTTATCTTTTTTTTTTAATGTATTTATTTGTATTACATCTATAAATCTGGAGGATTTTTTTATGTATTAAAATTAATGTATGAAATATATATATAAAAATACATTAAATATAGTCTGATATTAATTTATATTTAATTAGATATAGGATTATAAATTACACATTATGAGAGAGGTGAAATGCTGCCCATCCCTTTCTATAAAACTATAAAAAAAATAATAAATAANTAAATATAAAAAAAACATTAAAAAGTTGTAACACATTAGTCATTTCCGTTTGCTTAACTTTATATTTTAAATATCAGATATTATTTTTACTTTTCCTACTCTGTTATATATATCAGAGGAAAATTATGGCGATCAGTCAAAAAAAAAATTGTAATAAAACAAATTTTTCATTTTGATTCACCGAAATAAGTGATTTTTTGTATTCAAATTCCTTCAAATTTTAGTCAGTTCTTGGTCTTGAAAGCGTACTTCAGACGGATTAATGAATGACCATCACTCTTCTCATTTTTTAGGCGCTTTAATAGTCCGTTTGTTGTAATCCTATTTTGGCATTGTGCACATCGAATGATTTTCATGGAAGCCAAAGTTTTTTTGTTGGAATTTTGAGCGGTCTTTCCGCATCGTATCTTGTAGTTACATAAAAGTCTTGTATTTCCACACGAATGTCAAATGGTGTAATGAGTGGACGTGATTTTCTTAATTTCTTTGATTCGATCTTCTCTCTTTTTAATTTTGCGTTGTCCATTCTTTGATTTCGATCGTCAATAATTAGTCGAATATTGTTATTTGATAATACAAATTGTTTCGATTGTTTTTTATTTGTTTAATTATTTCGTATGTCAATCTTTTAATAATTTAATTTAAATGTTATATTTATTAAATTTAGATTCTTCGTATACAGTAATTAAGGCATTAT